GGGCCTTTTGCAAACTCTTCCAGAATTGTGACGTGAATCGCGGGTCACGATCGGAAATGATAGACAAAGGCACACCATGTAATCTTACGATCTCACAAATGTACAATTCTGCCAATTTCTTTAAAGACATATCACGTCGAATTGGGATAAAATGAGATGACTTGGTTAATCGATCAACGATTACCCACACAGCGTCATTTTTCACAAAGTCCATCGTAATTCGTTCCCACTTCCATTCAGGAATAATGGGTGGATGCAACAATCCACTTGGCACTTGGTGTTCCGCTTTGACTTGTTGACACGTTAGACATCGTGTTGTAAATTCCGAGATTTCCCGCTTCATTGTGGGCCACCAATATGTTTTCATCAGATCTTGGAACATCTTATTACTACCAGGATGCATGGTATATGTGGTTTCATGAGATTCACGCATTAAACGCTCTCTTACTTCTCCACTAGGAACTACCAAACGGTTTCTGTAGAATAAAATTCCATCAGTCACAGTGAAATCTTGTCTCTCCCCCTTAGAGACAAGTTCATAAGTCTTCAAACAATAGTCATCATGTTTTTGTGCAGCATGAATTTCATTCTCAAGAGTAGGCTGGATCCGGAGTTCAGCTATCATCTTTCGGCTCAAAGCGTCAGCAACTACGTTAGCCTTACCAGGGTGATAGTCGATATAACAGTCGTAATCCTTAATAAGTTCTAGCCATCTTCTCTGTCTCAGGTTCAACTCTTTTTGAGTTAACAGGTATTTCAGACTTTTATGGTCTATATGAATATATGTCGTTTCTCTGAAGAGATAATGACGCCATATCTTCAGAGCAAATACGACTGCTGCTAGCTCAAGATCGTGAGTAGGATAATTACATTCATGAGGCTTTAACTGCCTTGACGCGTATGCCACGACTTTTCCGTCTTGCATGAGTACACATCCCAAGCCATTATGAGATGCGTCACTAAAGATTGTGTAGTCTATACCTGGTACTGGTTGTGTCAGTACAGGTGCTTCTGTCAGACATTTCTTTAGTTTTTCAAAGCTTTGCTGACATGCGTCGGTCCATACAAATTTCACATCTTTTCTCAAAAGTTTGTTAAGTGGAGTTGCGATCGAGGAAAAACCTTTAACGAATCGTCGATAGTATCCAGCTAATCCTAGAAAACTTCTCACTTCACGAACATTCCTTGGAACCTTCCACTCGATGATGGCAGATATTTTGCTAGGGTCCACTTTAACACCTTCCTTCGAAATCACATAACCAAGGAATGTGACTTCATCAAGCCAAAATTCACACTTGGATAACTTTGCATACAGTTTGTGTTCTCGTAGTACACTGAGTACTATCACCAGGTGCTTTGCATGGTCTTCTTGATTTTTTGAATATACAAGAATGTCGTCGATGAACACGACTACGAATTGATCAAGATAGGGTCGGAATACACTATTCATGAGATCCATGAATACTGCAGGAGCATTGGTCAAACCAAAGGGCATTACTGTGAACTCGTAATGACCATAACGAGTACGGAACGCAGTCTTTGGAATGTCCTCTTTCTTGACAGGGATTTGATGGTATCCT